GTACTTGTACGGCAATACAATTTTCCCCAGGATTGCATGTATTAAGTATACAGTAGGTACAAAAGGTTTTACAGATTTTATAAATTGTTATACTATTAAAACTTTCTAACTTAATCTTCGACCGCAATAAGCATTGAAACAACATACTCTGTTGTATATTTCTTTGCCCCCTTCAATGTATATATATACATATATATTATAAACTAAATGCCTTTTGTATACACTGTATATTCATTCGAAAAACGAACGACAAAATTTAAGGTCACTCTGTTGTTTTTCATTACATGATATGTTTCATAGCATTTGATATTAGGTTGTTGCTTATGGAACGAATGAATTTTATTAGTCAAAGTACACTCCAACAGTTTTTGTACACCAAATTTTAAGAACCTATGTTACTTCATTTTAGTTAATATCCAACGTGTTTTATTCATTAACCAAACAACACTTTATAAACAGTCAAATACATTAATTTTACACAGGATGGTCTTTGAAAATAATTTTCATTCATGAAAGCATAGTCTAGTATTACAATCTGTGATATCCACCACTATATGCGCAGCTACTTAATATTAGGTACATCAATAAGTAATCCATTAATTTCCAACAAATTTATGTTTACTTCTAAGAAACCAAAATCTTCCTCTGCTTTACTATTAGTTTGTCTATGTTCTCCATCGCTTTACACCATTTTCGTTAAGCAAAATATAAGATATTTTTTATTTAAACTAACATGTACCTTATTGAAGAATATAATGAATTACTTATTGATATACGTATTAATTCAAAATCTATGGAAGCCATATATAAACTGAATTATTCGTTAAGAAAAAGAACAGAGTGATGTTGCTAGACTACGGGCATTATGCATTTCTAATCAACGTTTAAGAAGCAATGAATTATAAATTTATAATAAGATTGTTAAATATACTTGATACATTTCTTCATTTTTCTAAATCCTTTAACAGTTAACATCATCCTATCTTTAAACTTCAATTTTCAATTTCAATTTCAATTTCAATTTTAATTTCAATTCCATGATATTCTATGAGAACTGAAGACCACATAAAGGTCCGCAGTCTAGCCATTTAAAATAAATCTTTCTCAAAATACTCTGGAACTTGGGAGAATGTTTCAAGCGACAAAGTTGGGTGAGACGCACTATATGATATTGATATGTATATGTATATATGTATATATGTATATATATATACATATATACACACATATATATATCGCGACGTATCCGGATGTGGATCGTGTTGCGTTCTCTCTCGCAAAAAGAAATGTCCTCGTTTGGGACTCCGCCGCGGCGTCAGTAACGGAAGAAGATTTCTTCTTGTCGTTACGTGTGTTGCGTAACTTCCGCTTCTTCCTTCGTTGTGAGGTGACGAAGGAAGTTAATTAATTAAACAAGAGAATAATAATATTAATAATAATAATAATAATAATAATAATAGTAATAATAATAATAATAATAAAACATAATTTCTTCGCTCGGAATCCCGGGGTACGGAATTTCTCTGCGCGGACCGGTGTACTTTCATCCCAGATCCAGTCAGCAAATCTCGTTACGTCCGCTGTTGCGTACTTATCGTTCCGTTTTCTATTTTTCTTTTTTTTTCTTCTTTTTAATTGCCACCATCATGGGAATTTTCGTTCCGAGTTCATTGAGACAAGTTCGGAGTCAGAATCGGACATTTTGTACGAGTATGTATCGCGGAGATTTTTCACGTTAGCGATAATTTCTGTGTATTTGTAGTTCTGTATCTTTTAATGTTGTCCTTTATATATGTATATTATATGCGTACAATATTATACACATATATGTATATATGTGTACAATATTATACACACACACACACACACACACATATATATATTATATATGCGTGTATATGTTCTGTATAGAATGTCCCTTTAGAAATGCCGCATCCGCGTCGCGATAAATTCTTCTGCTGTCAGTACGATGAATTCTCAATGTTTTTCTTTTCTCGTTCTAT